GTGATATAAAGGGATCAAGATATAGAGCTAGAAGGAATTTTAGAGGTCATCAGTCCAATCCCCTCATTTTAGAAATAAGGAAACAAAACCTCAGAGAAGGTAAGTGATCTGCCCAAAGTGGCACAGCTAGTAAGTGACAGAGCTGGGATTTGGACTCTGGCTCTAATTCCAGTGCTCTATTCACTGTACCACATAGTCAGACCCATGAATCTTAGGACTGCCCATTCATCCAATCAACAAATGTTTACTAAGAGCTTTCTAGGTACAGAGCACTGTACTAGGCTGCCATTATCCTGTACAACATTTAAAAGTCCCTCCTTCTAGATGACACATTTCACAGAGACAAGGCCTGAAATCCCCAAGCTTGTTGCGTTCTTCCAAGAGAGAGCCCAAAGAGCTCTGGCACTTGAATCCCAGTAGTGATAAGATTCATTCATCCAACAATTTCAACAGACATTTTTGTTCAAACAATTAAAATACTTGTTGGAGTCGTTGGTGGGACTCAGCTGTGCTCCCTACCCCACTCCACCCTATACTTGGGCTGCGAGGGAATGAATAGCAGGTGGCAAGGCTCTTGCTGCTCACTGTCCATTCCATTCCCTTCAACAAATGTCAGGTGTGTATACATGTAAAGCATCATCCTAGGCTCTAGGTATATGAAGAAAAAAATGGCAGTACTTAAGGACAGTACCTTCCTTAAGGAGTTTACATCCTACTGGGTGTACAAAGAAGTCTTTAAAGAAGACCCCTGGGGCAGCTAGGTGGCGCAGTGGATAGAGTACCGGCCCTGGAGTCAGGAGGACCTGAGTTCAAATCTGGCCTCACACCAAACATTTGTCACATACTAGCTGTGTGATCTTGGGCAAGTCACTTAACCCCGACTGCCTCACTTAAAAAAAAAAAAAAGAAAGAAAGAAGACCCCTGTCATACTTATGTAGTGGGTATCTGAAATACTCCCCAACCTCCTCAAAAATCTCTCATCCACTCCTCTAAACATATTATTCCTTTTGAGAAAATTTGCTATTAAGTGAATGGGACCAAATACAATCAATGAGGTTTACTGTGGTGGTCCCATTCACTTTATAGCAAATTTATACATAAAATTATGGGACTGTCCCACTGCCTAGAACTCAAAGACTCCAATATTCATTAGATTAATGGCCATCAATGGATAACCATTAAGAAAAAAACTTTCAGGAAATGAAAGATTTTAGACTGATCACCAGCACACTGTTCTGGAAAACATTTTTGATCCAGACAGACAAGAAGGTAAGAGTCATTAACACTCCAAGAAAACAGTTTCAGGAGACAGGTTGGGGCAGAAGTACAGTTGGTAGTAGTAAAAGCAGTGGCTCCAGGCTTTTTTGAGAAGCTTGGCAATACAAAACAAAGAGGGGCTGGATAGAGGAATCTAGAAAAAGGTTTTTTCTTTATGGCCAGGATTCCTGACCATATTTAAAGGCAAATGAAAATGTATAAATGGCACGGGAGAGACTCAAGACACATGACAAAAAGAATGACTCTTGGACCAGAGGCCTGGAGATGAGATGGGATGGAAGCATAGGCACAGATGGGACATAAGTCTTAGCAAAGAGCAGTACTCTCTCTTCTGTAACTGGAGGAAAGGGAGAGAGGGTGATGATGCTGAAAGATTATGATGACTAGAAGAAAGGAGCAGAGGGAGTTTATGTCAGATAGCCTTAATTTTCATGGTAAAGTAGGAGGCCAGATCATCTGCTGGAAGTGTGGGAGTAGGCAGTCACTGTAAGGAATGAGAGAGTCTTTCTATACTACCCTCATTGCCTCCCTGTCAGTCAAGCAGTGGGGTGCAGCTAACATTATGCACTATGTTTCTGGTTATGTCTATAACCAAGTGCTAAATGAGAGGCCCAGACAACGAAGGCTATGGGAATTCACAGGAGTGGAATAATAATAACAACAATAATAATGATAGTAAAGCATTTAGCTAGCCTTAAAAGTGTTATCTGTTGGTTATCGTCATCTCATTTGAGATGAACAAAAACCCTATGAGGAAGATACTGCATATTATTACCCTCACTTTAGAGATAAAGAAACTGAGGCTCAGAGAAATTAAATGACTTGCCTAATGTCACACTGGGGCTAGACTTAAGCCCTGAATCCAAGTCCAATTCTCTATCCACCATAGTGAGTTGTCTCACTAAAAGGGAAAGGAAGGAAACAAGCATTTATTACGTGCCTACTATGTGTTGGGCACTATGCTAAGCACTTTAGAGATATTATCTCATTGTGGTCACTGTGGCTTCTTGCAAGAACTTAGACTTGAAGGATGTGTGGAATGTAGACAGCAGTGGAGGCAGAGGGTGGGAGGCTGCATTTAAAGCAGGGGGACAATGCATGTTCCAGAGATGAAAATGAACACATTATACATACATTTCATTTCAGTGAGTCAAGAGGGAAGTTTGAAAGGAATATGAGATAACACTGAAAAGCAAGAATCATGGAACAAACAATATAAGCACTGAATGAAAAGATTATCTAGCCCAACCTACTTATTTTAGAGGTGAGGAAACTGAAGACCCAAAATTTGACTAAAATTATACTGCAAGTTAGTGGCAAATCCAGAATCCAGATCTCCTGACCCCAAGTCCATGGCTTTTCCTCTTATAAAACACAGAGAGCCAAAGTGGTACAGAAGAAGAAGCAAGAGCCCGACAGTGAGAGGACCTGGGTTCAAATGTTACTCCTGAAGTTTATTACTTGTTTGACTGTGAGCAAGGCATTGGGGGAGCTACGTGGTATAGTGAAGAGAGTGTGGTATTGGAGTCGAGAAGGCTGGAGTTTGAATACTGCTTCAGCTGTTCACCAGCTGTGTAAACTCGGAGCAAATCACTTAACTCCTCAGTCTCAGGGTCATCATTTGAAAAATGGAAATAACAGCAGCACCTTCCTCACAGGGTTCTTGTGAAAATCAAATAAGACGAGATGTGTAAAAAGCACTCGCACACTCTTAGGAACTATTACTATTACTATTAGCTGTTTGTAGGACCATTATATATTATTGATTTCCCTGGGCCTCAGTTTCCTCTCCTATGAAATGAAGCAGCTCGAGTGGGTGGCTTTTGAGGTCCTTTCCAGTTCTATCTCTATGATCAAGCTGGGACTGGAGAGGACCTGAATGCTAGGCTGAAGAGTTTAGATTTTATTTGGAAGCTAGCAGAGGGTTCTGAGCAGAGGAATGAATACATTATAAATTCCACAAAGGTCAGTACTGGGTCTCATTTAATTTTTGTATAGCCCACAGTGCCAAGCGTGGTGTTCTGTACATAAAACAATAAAGGCATAATGTTTGTTGAACTGAATTGTTCAATGACATCTCTTCCTCTATAAAGTTTCCCTTGATCTTCCTACTTTTAATTCTCTTTCCATCTGCCAATTACCTTGTATTTTCTTATCTGTGTACATGCTGAATGCACCCATTAGAATGTAGGCCCTTTGAAGGCAGGGGTTGTCCATTTTTTCTTTGTATCCCTTCCCTTCCTTTGTCTGAATTTATCTCTCCCCTAACACACATGGGTGCTAGGTATTAATACATGTTTGCTGAATTACTTAATGAGTGGAGGTGTATGAAGAAGGTTAAGGTAGCTACATTCTTATCTTGACTGTGTGGCTAAAATGAAGAGACACATATGGGCTATGATTCCTCAAATGCACAAAAATCTTAGTCTCAGTCCTTTAGACTGAGAATTGGGGGAGGAAAGAGACAAGGGAAAGAAGAGGAAACAGTACCTTCCTCAAGGAGTTTACATCCTACTGGATGTACGAAGAAGTCTTTAAAGAAGACCCCTGGGGCAGCTAGGTGGCGCAGTGGATAGAGCACCGGCCCTGAAGTTAGGAGGACCTGAGTTCAAATCTGGCCTCACACCAAACACTTGTCACATACTAGCTGTGTGACCTTGGGCAAGTCACTTAACCCCGACTGCCTCATCCCACCACTGTCTCCTCCCCTACCCAATCTATCCAGTTTTAAGGAAATGGATTAAATGGAATGGAAAGAATGGGAAAGAAAAGAAAGGAAGAAGAGAGAGACGTTGAACTGGTCAGGAGTGAGGTAATACAAGGAACAGAGAGGGACTGCTACTTCTCATGCCCTAATCCCCAGTCCTCTTGCCTCAGATATTGAAGTCCTTCACATATCAGACAGGTCAGGAGACTAGGGTTCTATTCCTGGTATGGTCTCTAACTGGCAGAGTGACTCTGGGCAAGTCACAGGCCCTCCCTGGGCTTCAGCTGCCTCGTCTGTAAAATGAAGACGTTGGACCAGATAGCAGCTAAGATTCTATGACAGTCCGCTGACTACAATAAGAATCCAGAAGGCAAAGAAATGACACTGGCCCAAAATGACCCAAATCCACTTTATTCTCTGGGTCTTGGTTTCCATATTTGCACCCTATGTTAATGTGAACCACTACAATTACTAACTAATGAAAGGGGATTGGACCTTCTAGGGTCCCCTCCAACTCTGGATCTTATGAAATACAATATATCAAGTGTTTTCTGTTATCCTCTCATCTGTTAACACCAAGACCACACAGGGCTCCTAGATACAAAATGGTAGACAGTGTTGGTGGCTCTCACAGGCTCAGGAAGGGTTCAGATGCCTACTGGCAGCTAGTCAATAGGAAGCGTGAAGTGTGGACATAGTGACCACCAACACATCTTTACTGTCAACTAAAGTCTGACTTCCAGGGGAGGGCGTGCATCTTTCTGAACAGGACTGGAAGCACTGAGGGAGCGCTGTAGACCACACATAGTGTCTTTGAAAGGGCCATGAAATGGCTCTCCAGCTAAGAGCTGGCCACCATATTGCAAGAGATCTCTGTCTCTTTTCCCTGTCTTCCTTTTCAAAGTCCCTATAATTCCCAAGAGTAAAAAAAGGAGGTAGGGAAAGAAGGGTGTGGGTACTGGTGGAAGACTGAAAGGGGCCGAGGGAGGCAAAGGAAGTTAGACTGGTACTCACTGATGGCCCCAGTGTACGTTGGCTGCGTGAGGTCTTTTGGTACCTTCCGGTAGATGTCAAATCTGAAAGGAGGAAAAGCAGCAGGAGTGAGCCATGCAGGACATTTCAATCTATCACTGCCCCATGGGACTGAATGGGGCTAGTCATTTCCCCCTTTGGGATTCCAATCCAAACATGATCCTTTCTGCGGTGAGGCACAGGGGGTTGGCAGGGAAGGACAACAATCATCCTTTCTGAATGTTCATACAATTATATGACACTTCCTCTTCGGTTTCATCTTTCCACCATCTTCATCACTACTTTCCTTTCTCTCTTCCTGCCCAGGCTCAGCTCAGGTCTAGGTCAATGATAAAAATATATTTGGCAAATTCCATATTTCAGAACCAACCTAACTCTTCTGACTGCCGAGTGAAATTATTTCTCCCCCTTAGGATTTTTTTTGGGGAGGGAGATGGAGCAGGAGGTGGAAATGAGACAGATGTGAATTTATGAAAGCAGAGAAGATTCCAGGGCTCCTTTTCATCAAAACCTAAGGGGAGGTTTTCACAGTACAAACCTCAGTTTTACGAAGTATTAACAAAAGCACCCAGGAAATCTGGTGTGTGTGTGTGTGTGTGTGTGTGTGTATGTATTATAATTTTTAAAATACATATAATCTAAATCTATCTATAATATACGTAGGCCAAATTCCTTTATTAAGGTTAATAAGAATAACAGCAGCTAACATTTATATCACACTTATTATGTGTCAAGCATTGTGCTAAGCAAGCACTTTATAGTATTTCATTTGATCCTCACAATAACCTTGGGAAGTAGGTGCTATTATAATCATCCCCATTTTACAGATGAGGAAACTGAGGCAAAGAGAGGATAAGTGACTTGCCCAGGATTATATTGACAGTAATAGTAAGTGCCTGAGGCCGGATTTTAACACAAGCCTTCTTGACTCCAGGTCTAGTGTTCTGTCCGCTGTGCCATCTATGTGCCTGTCTCTAATATAAAAGGCTGGTGCTTCTACCCTTTTTTTATTGTGAAATCTACGAATAATACCTCTCATACCGCTAAAAGATCACTGGTATCCATCCTTGTCTTTCCACCCACATGGTTGGCCATTACCCTAATTTAGGCCCTCACCAACATCTCTCACCTCGAATACTGAAATAACCTTATAAATAATCCTTCTGCCTCCAGCCTCTCCTCTCTTCAATCTGTCCTTCATACAACTAACTGCCCTAGTAATCTTCCTATATACACTTCTAACCATGTCACTCCTCTGCTTAAAAGTCTTTAGAACCTCCCTCAGTCATCCTTATCACATAGAGCAGTGGGCTTATGGGGGAGGGGTAAAGGGAGGAAGGGCACTGAATTACTGGAAGAGGTTCATGCATTCATATGTAAATCCATAAATAAAACAAACATCCTATAGACTCAATGTCTTGCACATTTATGTATAAATTTTTCACACGGATTTAACTCCTGTTCTGATTAATAAAATATATTAATTTTAAAAAATCACTGAATTAATAAGAGCTTGGTATCATTCATTATATGTTTTCTCAATCAGAAGATATTAAAAGTGCAATTACTATCATATGGGGGAGTTGGGAATAATCTGACATTAAAAATGGGTCCTTGATGATGAAGCATGCGACCAATTTTCTGACAGAAACATGATAGAGAGATGAAGAATGAGACACACATTTTTTGGACATGGCCAACGTGGGAAGTTAATTTGCCTGACTATCCACATCTGTGACAAAGCTTTTACTTTTCTCTATTTTCAGCTGGGGGTGGGCAGGAGATGGTGATTAGAAGTGGGTTCTTGTCTACCATCCCCACCACCCACACCCTCCCTAATGAAGAGAATAGAAGGAAGGTTGGAAGGACTCACAATCAGGGCAGCTTGAAAGTGACACATTGAATTTATTATCTTTTAAAAGAAAAAACTATACAATAGATCTGCAGTTTTATGTACACTTCTCTCCTGCTCCAATGTAAATGGAGACATTAATTTCATTAGGGGTTTGTTAAGTTCAAATAAAAAAAAACCCACAAAATAAGATGGAAAAGGGGGTTCTCATACCCTAGGCAAGTCCACTTTCAGTACTCTAGGCAACACTTTAATGCTATTGGTTGCAGAGAAGGTGATTCCTCAACTAGTCAGAAGTAACCTGCCCAGAGTCTATCAATATGTGTCAAAGATAACACTTGAACCCAGAACTCCAGGACTCTAAGACCGGCCCTCTCCACTTGACCACGCTGCCTGGGGTGCTGATTCAACCTTCCCACTTTTTGCCCTTCAGTCTGGCAGGAGAGAAAAGAACATACCAGGCTGGTTTGTGAGTGGTGGTGGCAGAGGGCATGGAAGAGAGCCAGTTGGATAGAACCTGGATAGAACCAGCTGGAAGAGAACCTATTGATAAGCTATTTTTGTTCTTCAGGAGAAGGCTGTTGACTATAGTGGAAAGAATTTATTTTAGGAACTTGAGTGGGCAGGTCCTCCAAAGAAGGGAGAAGAGAATAGGTATATTTCAATTCAACAAGTATTTATTAAGTACCTAAGTATTTATTAACTACAATAAATACAGATACAGTTGGTCAGTTAATAAACATTATTTTATTAATGTTTTAAGGTATTAAGCACCTACTCTGTGCCAGGCATTGTGCTAAGTGCTAGGGATATGAAACACAGTAAAAGACAGTCCTTCCTCTTAAGATGTTTGAAGTCTAATGGAGAGATGATATGAAATCAATTAGGTACAAATAAGACTGTATAATGATAGATAAACAGGAGATAATTAACAGAGGGGAAGCACAAGAATTAAGGGGGATAGGGAAAGGCTTCCTGAGGAAGGGAGGATTTTAGCTGGGACTTGAAGGAAGCCAGGGAAGCCAGGAGGTGGAGATGAGGAGGGAGAACATTCCAGGCATGGGGAACAGCCACAGAAAATGTTGGGAGATGGAGTGTCCTGTTCAAGGAACTGCAAGAAGCCGGTGTCATTGGCTCAAAGAATACTTGAGGAAGGAGGGGAGAAGAGATTAAGGTGAATGAGGAGGGGTGTGGATGGACAGGAGATTATGAAGGGCTTTTAATGCCAAAGCGTGGATTTTTGATTTGATCTTGCAGATGATAGGGAGCCACACTGGTGTTTAGTGAATACCTGGGTGACATGGTCAGACTTGTGATTTAGGAAGATCTTCCCTTTGACAGCGGAGTCAAAGATGGATTGGAATAAGAAGAGACTTGTGGCAGGACAACTCACCAGCAGACTACTGTGATAATTCAGGCATGATGTGATAACAGCCTGTACCAGGGTGGTAGAAGTGCAAGAGAACAGAACAGGTCATATGCAAAGGGTGTTAGGAAAATAAAATTGATAGGCAAATCTTGGCAACAGATTGAATATGGAGGTGAGAATGAGGAGCTGAGGGTAACACCTAGATTTCTTTTTTTTCTTTTCTTTTTTTTTTTTTTGCGAGGCAGTTGGGGTTAAGTGACTTGCCCAGAGTCACACAGCTAGTAAGTGTCAAGTGTCTGAAGCCGAAATTTGAACTCAGGTCTTCCTGACGCCAGAAGCCATGCTCTATCCACTGCGCCACCTAGCTGCCCTGACATCTAGATTTCAAACCTAGGTGACTGGGAAGATGGCAGTACCCTCAAAAGTAATAGAGAAGTTAGCAGGAGGGGAGGGTTTAAGAAGAAAGATAATGGGTTAAGTTTTGGAAATGTTGAGTTTGAGATGTCTGTGAGTCATCCAGTTTGAGATGTTTAATAGGCTTTTGGAGATGTAAGACTGGAAGTCAGCAGAGAGGTTAGAGATGGATATGGAGATTTGAGAATTATTAGCATAAAGATGACAACTGAATCCATGGCAGTTGATGAGATCACCAAGTGAAATAGCATAGAAGGGGAGCACAAAAGGACGCAGGATTAAGCACCATGGGACAACCCACAGTTAGCAGGCATGATCTGGACAGAGATCCGTCAAAGGACAGTGAGGAGAGGTCAGATAGGCAGGAGGAGAACTAAGAGAGAATAGTGATATGAAAACCTAGAGATGAGACAGTGTCCAGAAGAGAGTGTTCGAAGATGTTAAAGGCTGCAGAGAGGTCAAGAAGGATCAGTTGAGAAAAAGTAATTGGCTTTGGCAAATAAGCGATCACGTCCTCACCCTCAATAATCGGACATCCCATTTTAAAGGTTCTAACAATAGAAAATCAATGAATATAGAATGACATTATAATACCCTGGAAAGATAATCAAGGTGGGGGATCTATAAGCGATTATCTATGAGAATATATTTGTTGTTCACTCATTTCAGTTGTGTCCAACTCTTTGTGGCTCCATTTGTGGTTTCCTTGGAAAAGGTACTAGAGTGGTTTGCCATTTCCTTCTCCAGCTCATTTTGCAGATGAGGAAACTGAGGCAAACAGAATTAAATGACTGACCTAGGGTCACACAGCTAGTAAGTGTCTGAGGTAAGATTTGAACTCAGGAAGATGAATTTTCTTGGCACTTTGTCCACTGAGCCACTTAGCTGCCCTTATAAGAATAAATGGATATTAGGAAATAGTCAACATGGCTCTGTGAGCAGACCACTTGGACTATGGACTATTTATGACTGAAGAGCAGGGAAGGAGGACAGCCAGATGATGGGGGGGTAATACAAAAAAGCAGCATGCTGATGGAAAGAACCACACCAGACTTGAAATCTAAGGGCATGATTTCAAATCCTGGCTCTGTTACTTGCTACCATTGGGAAAATCTTGTTACATGCCTTTGAGCAAATCACTTTTCTTCTATGGGACTCAATGTCTTCATCAGGAAAATTAGGGGTTTGAACTAGATGATTTCTTACTTCTAAGGTTCTATGGGTCTAAGGAATCTAGTTTGATTACCTTGGGACTCTAAATTCCCACCATCATTACAGTCACATTGACAGACCTGGAAACCACGATATATCAATGTGTGGAGAAGAGGAAAATAAACAACTTTTAGATAGCCCTTGAGACTCATCAGCCTGTGAGTTGGTGGTATAATTTTAGTATTCCTGTTTAGTAG